TTGGAAATTTGGATTTTTGGTCATGACTTGAATGCCTTACATTACAAGTCATATTTTTCTTCATTTTTGAATAGTTTCATACCATTACATGACACAAAAGGAGTTTGCCACATTTGGACCAACATAGAATCATTTTATGTACCATATTTTCAAAATTCTTACCTTAAAAGTTATCTTGCAAAACCTTGTGCCAATTTATCCTACATGACTTGAAATGACTCAATTGTTTTCTACACACCTTCAACATTTTCTCTCATTCTAGGCATCAAATAGGGTCATACTGGGTTGCATCTGAAGCCCTACCTATGGTATGAAATGTTTGAACTATCCATTTGTATGTATGATGAAGTTTCGGTGTGAGCATTCTAATTTTTGTGCTTTGATTCATGCTTATTTAGGAACCTTTTTTATAAGTGATTGTTGGAATCATGTTGTTGGTGATGAGAGCTTTCGAATGGTACAAGAGTTTACCATTTTTATTGAGTTTTAAACCCTGAGCTCCAGCGAGCTGGCTAGAGAAGATGATCGGATCCCTAGCTCCGGCGTCTGGTTCATCTCAGGTGAAAAGTTGAGCTGGCCTTGGTGGAAAGTTTGACCAAGTGATTTGTCATGCTGGGATTTGCTTGATCGTGCCCATGTGTGAGTTTGACTCCGTGTAGGATTAATGAAACGCAGAGTTTCATTAATCTGAGTCTTTTGGACATTGGGCCTTGTTACATTGTTATCCACACCTCCCCTCTTTTGGCCCAGACGCGCATTTGTTCATATTTCAGTTCAATTGAGTTTTACCATTTGCCCCCCTTGCTTGTTTCTTCATTTTTATTTCATTTCCATTTCTGTTTTCATTTTGATATTTTAAAAATAGTTTCAATCATCAAAAAATTCACAAAAATTACTTTCTTGTGTTTCAAAGTGTTATTTAATTTTCTAAAATTTTTATTTCTATTTTTATTTTAATTTGCTATTTTATTTTAATTTTGCAATTAGAGGTGTTTTATGGTGTTTACTCTATTTGATCTTATTCATTTGAACCCCTAATGCACATCCCCTCTGGTCAATGCTTCTTCACCATTTAGGGGATGAATTGAAGTGTCTTTGAGGATAGATATGGTTCATGATTGATCATTTTTCATTTGACTTTAGGTTTACTTTTCATGTCCCTCGATTCATGCTCGATAAGGTGGAACACCATCAACTCTTGAATTATTTGATGATTCCTCGAGATGAATTTGACTTTGAGACTTTGGATGTTGGTTTCCGAATGACCTATACTTGTTGTGATTTTTATTTGGAATTTATTAAACAATCTTTCTATTTTTGATGAAGCTTGCAAGTTAAGTCATCTTAAAAGAGGTTCATACAAACTAGTTTGACCTAGTTCTTTTGGGAGATGACTTCTATGGATCCCATATGCATCTTATGATTCTTGATGTTTGTTTATGACATGATTAAGGTGTTGGTTCTTTGATTTTAGGTCATACACTTATGTAACTTGTTTTACAAGTTACTTAGAAGTTATGCCTTTCCACTTGGTTTTAAGTGTTCAATTTGTGATAGAACCTTGTTTCTTTAACTTGCCATGACTTGGTTGTTGGTTGTAATTTGTTTTAATCTTGTATTGGAGCTTTCTTATTATTGGTACGCTTCTTCCCCATGTGTTTTGATCATTATTTAAGATGATTTGGTGTTCATAACTTATGCTTTGAGTTTGTCTTGAATAATGAAGCATTTCTTGCATCTGCTTTGCTTATCTCTTTTGCATGATCAACTTGAGATGTTTGGTTGAGATAATTCACATGTGCTTGATGCCTAAGTTTTCTTTCTCCCATTTTTCCCTTAATCATGACTTTTGCTTTTGCTTTATGCTTAGCATTGGTTTAAGTGATGGATGTTTGAATGGTTGTAGGAGTTGTTACTTCTCCCTTTTCTTCTCACTTTTCTTGACTTGTCTAAGTCAACTTCTTCTCTTTCTTCATTTCATCTATGATTGAATTATCTGTTGTTTACTTGGTCTTTTGCCATGATTCTTTGGGATTCATAGTCCCTCTGTTTAAGATGGGAGTAGAAGAGACATTAGGTGTTCAATCTTTTGCATGATAACATTAGGATAGATTCTTGCCCTCTTAATCCCAACTTTAGGAGCATTTTGCATGATAACATTAGGGTTGATCAGTTCCCCTTAGAGTTTGTGTCTTCTCTTCTAATCTCATAACATCTTAAGACACTTAATAAAGAATAATGAATGTTGTACGCTACGAGCCTTAAGTACTTGAGGAATGATGAGTGAGGGGCCTCCTCTCACCTTGTCTAGAGTGTTTAGTGTATGCCCTTTGGGCGATATGCGACGCATTCACTCTCAAGTCATAGTCTTTAGTGTAACATGAGTTACAAACTTAACTCAATTTGCTTCTTGTTTAAAAAACACAAAATAAAACATCAACCTTTTTATCCTTCGGGATTGTTTGAAAATCATTTTCAAAAATAGTGTGTTAAGTCTTGGTTCCACCGCAAACAGACATCGTCCATAACTGCTAGAATGAAGGTTTAACCCTACTCAGTTAAAACACTTAATCAATCTGTGGTCGTGTCAGCCCGAACTACGTCTGCTCTGATTTCTCATGCCAGATGAGGATACTTAGGCACAAGACGACAATGTCTTGGCGAACAACCTTCCCCGCCTTCACCCGTAGTTTCCCGAACTACGTTGACTCTGACTTTCCCATTGCACGAGGGAATAGGTAGGCATAGAGCAGCGATGCTCTATCGAGTCTCTTTTCTTTTCTTTTGTCCTTGTGAGCCAGCCTTTTGATAGATTAACACCCTTTTAGATAGACAATAAGCGTGGATCCCGTTGAGTACAACAGACGTGAGGGGTGCTCATACCTTCTCCTTGCGTAACCGACTCCCGAACCCAAGATTTGGTTGCAATGACCTGTCTTTTCCCTTTTTTTCGTAGGTTTTCTCTAATCGTTTCCTTTCCCTCTCTTTGGGATAAATAACGAACTGTGACGACTCTTTTGTCTTTGCCGGTCCTTTTTTGTAATAACGAAAGTTATTACCATGACTTTATATCTTCATCATGTTTGAATGAATGCATATGTGTGTTTATGCTGTGTTAAGTTTCCCCAAGTGATGTAGCTTGTTAGCTCTCATCCAGTTGCCTTGTTATCCCTTATTCCAAAGGAAAGTCTCTCTATTGACTTCACTATCATAGATAGCTCATTACCCCTCCCCTTGACTTGGTTAAGTCATTAGATCCTTTAACTTAGTTAAGTTAGAACATATACCCATTATACTTTGCTTTAAATACAAAGACCTACTCCTTGTTAGGAGTATCCTTCAATTAGAACTTTAAGATAGAGTTTGTTAACTCTATGTAAGGATCATTGTCATGATTACTTACTCCCCTTTTACCTTTTGTCAAAGTCAATCCCCTTGAATGTTAAACTTAGATCTAGAGAGTTTGTCAAACTCTATACAAATATTATTATGTTTGTTCCCCCTTGGAGTCTTGACCATAGTCAAGTATTCCTCAACCTTAGTGAGGTGAACTACGGTTGCTCTGATTCCATCCTAGTAAGAATACGTAGACATAAGATGCGATATCTTTGTGAGCAAACTTGAAAGTGTTTAAAATACTCTAAAAAAATGATCCGTTCACAATTCTAACATCGCTCTATTAGATTTAAATTAATTTTTAAATTATTTATACAATAATATGTAGCTAACATTAACCTTTTTTAGATGTAATAAGATATATTTAAAGAAGAAACATAAAAAAAAATTTAATAAACAATTATGACATGTTTATGAAATAAATTAGTATTAAAATATCACATATCTTTTTTTAAAGCAGTTTTTTTCAATAAAAAAAGCTGTATATTGCAAATATAATGTAGTTAAAGCTTAAATGACCAACTCAAAAAAATAAAACAAAAAATTAAAAATTAAAGAACCACTCAATATATGCTAATCCCAATTCTATATATGCTAATCCTCTCTCTCTCTCTCTCTCTCTCATCCCAATGGCAAGTTGCATTTCATCTCTATTTAATTTGAAAATGCTTCATGATGAAATCATGTGATAAAAAAATAAGCACCCTCTAAAATTGAAGCCATGAAGAGATATAGTAGTACAAAAGAATTTTGGTGAATGCCTTAAAAACAAATAAGTAGAGGACGGTGGTAATAATATATGTAGCATTCATTCAAATCATAAATCACAATAATAATGCTAGACTGTCTAGTAGTGACTATTGACTACTGCACGAGGTGATGGAAGAGTGTCATGTGACCACCGCAATCTTAGCCTCCTCTCACTCTAATAATGGACTTTCAATTTTATATAAACAAAAAGGAAAAGGACATAAGATTCATATTTAAATAATTAATTAAACCATGATGATGCAATTAACGTTAATATTCGTTAAATAGTGATATAATATTCCTCTGGATTTGTGTTGCCTGACATCGTACACACATCAATTGATATAAAACAAAATGCATGAATGAGATTGAAATCTCCAATTTCTCCCTTTGCGGTATAGTTACTCAATTCAACTCAATCACCTACTTAGTTAGAAATACTACAATCACGTGGGGGTTGAGAATTTGTTGTCATCAACTTTCCTTTTTATATCTCTTGTCACATGCAATCTTAGCTAGCAATAATAAATTATTTTGTGTGCGTAAAAAATTGGATATTAATTTAGTGTTATCACATTTCTGCAATTCATGAATCAATAAATAATTTAGTGTTATCAGCATTATATTTGCAAAATAATTTTCTAGGAAACTCATAAGAAAAAAACGATATTCTAGAAAAATTAAAGAAACTATTATTAATTTGACCAGTCATAAACTAAAAAATTAAAGTTACAGAAAAGGAAAATTAAGTTCCTGACAAAATTAAGTAAGAAAGAAATAATTAAAATTAATTGTAGCTACAAAAATATTGGAAGCAGAGTTGGAGGTTTAAACTTTCCAACCATATCACCGTACTACATGAGGTGTGTGAAATCGGGTCCCACGTGTTGATGGATCAAGTAATCGTCACCGTTGGATGTTCCATCGAACATAATGTTGTGATGATGTTGGGCTTGTAGTTGCAGCATTTGGTGTTGATGGACCTTCATCATCTCCTTCTGGCGTCGGAGCTCTTGCACCTTCCGGTGCGAGTTGGAGTGTTTTGTCATGACAAATGTTGGGCTTGCTGCGGGCCTGTATTCAGGTACGAGTCGACCTGACTTGTACCTGACACCACAGGCGTTGCAGAGTGTTTTTGGACCTAGTGGTCCAGTGCGCCACTGAGGTGTTCTATCAGTGGCGCAGTGAAGACATTTGCGACCCTCACCATCGCCATGGTCTCTCTTTCTCGGTGAGGGTTTCTTTGCTGGAGCTATAACGTCGGAGTGAGAAGATGCAGTGGCGGTGGTGGGTGGAGAGAGAACTAGAAGACGAGAAGTCCAGTTGCATGGAGGTCCACGAGGTAGTTTACTGCGGGCTTTTTGAATGGACATTTGAGGAGGATTTAGTATTGGATTGGGTTCTTCGTGTGTTTTCGATACGGCGTCGTTTGATGCTTTCATGCCGGATATTAATTCAAGCTTCTCTAGGTCTTCACTTGAGAATGATTCTTCACCAAATTTAGATAACCATTCTAGCTCCGCAAGATCATCATACTGTTTCACAAAATTTAAAATATATTTATTCATACATGTTAATTAACAAGAAAATATTTAATATACATATAGTATGAAATTCTTACAAAAGCAACAATTAAAAAATAATAAATTAAGGATTATTTACATTTTTTATAAAAAATAAATTCTACATTGCTTTTAAAAATTTATTATTTTATTATATTATTTATATGTGCAATAGAATAGCTTAATAATTGGGAAAACAATAATTAAATTGTTTATATTAGATTTTGAAATAATTTTATCCCAACTTTGGTATTAAAATTAGATGACACGTCTATTTTTTAATTAAGTCTAATTTATATATGTTTTATCTTTAAAGTTCTACTAACGCGTCGTTTTAATAATATGTCACCTTTCACAAGTGTTCTATCATTTAAAAATGATGAAGACTTTGGTATTTGTAGATTTTTGTTGAATACTTACGGATTATTTAATCATCCAATACCATATTATTTTTTTATAATAATATATTTTAATAATTTAAAAAATAATAATAAAATGGTAATATAAATTAATTTTTAATTCAATGTGCATTTAATATTTTAAATTTTTTGACTAATTAATTACTAGTTTTTGTATTTAAATGTAGAAAAACTGAATTATTATTTTATTCATTCATTATCTGTTCATGAATGATTCTCTGTAATTTTTAAAAGAAAAATATGTTATTTTTACACCATTCTTATATAATACACCATTCTTATATAAAAAATTGATTAATGAAGTGATAAAATTATTTAATAAATTCACAGATATTAAAAATAATTTTTAATAATAAAATAAAAATTGTTAATTTAATAGCAATATCTCTTAATCCAAAAAAAAATTAAAAATTAAAAAAATAATATTTTATATTTTTTTAAAAAATAATATTTTATTATTATAATATTTTAATATTTACCGAACAATGAAATACGCTTAATCATTTGGTATAAAAATACCATCTTTTAATTCAAAATTCAAAATATATTCCCTCTATCTTATATGACATCTTTGCTTATTTCACACAATCTTAAATAAAATAATATACATGAATTTTTTATCACATTGAATTTAACTATTCAATACTGATGTATTAAAAATTATCAACAAATAAAAAGATAAAAAAAATTATTTTTTAAAGTAATACACATAGTTGTAACTTTTAGAATTTTATTTTTTGATATTAAATTAAAAATTAATAGTAACATTAATTTTAAAACAATTTTTCTCATAAATGTGACAATTTTTAGGAAAATGTAATAATTGTCGTGATAAAGATAAAGTAATAATATTATTCTATTTACCTCACAATAAATTCCACAGTTTCTTTTTTAAATAAAAAATGTCAATTATTTACTTTTAATTTATTAAACTATTTGTGCATTCTTATGATAATAATAAAAGTAAACAGATTTATAATAATTTTATAAAAATTTAATAAAATTACATCCCAAAGTAAAATGTCTGTTTGATTAAAACAATTTTTTTTATAATTATGACAATTAGTATGAGACACTGTAATTAAAAAAAATACAAAAAAAATAATTTATTTTTGGATTTGTTCAATTTAAATACTATTCATTATAAAAAAAAATACCAGTATAATTTATTTTAATACACATCTAGACTAAATAAAGGGATAAGACAAGTAAATTGTTGTAAACGTTAGATGTACTTTAATTACGTACAAGAGTCTTGTAAGTACACATTTCTACTTTTTACACTATAAACATAGTAAACAATATTTATATTTTTGGCCAACAATACTTTTTATGAAACATAGATAATGTTTTATTTTGCTAATAATATAAATTTTATAATATGAAATAATTAAATAATTAACCACCTCATTTCAAAAAGACCGTCGTTTAAAGGTTTTACACATAAATTAAATAATATTAATATGTGAGTTCTATTGAAAAATGAAAATGATAATTATTTTAAAACAAATTAGATTTGTTAAAACGGCTGTTATTTTCAAACAGACAGAATATTTATGATATAAAAAATTTATCTATTATTTTTAAACGTTTTGTTTTATTTCAATATCCCATTTTGTATTGAAATATTATTATTCTTATCTATAAGGTAACCAACAACTATGCAAATAATAAATATTATTGACACCTATATACACACAACACCGACGTACCGGGACGGAGAGTTCGCCGGAGAAAGGGCCGTCGACGGAATTCTGGCAAGAATTATCCATAAAAAAATTGGAATTGCCGTTAGTTTCAAGAGGTGGAGGAGAATTATCAGAGATGGTAGGAGGAGAATCAAAAGCAGGGTCACCAATGGCATCATCATCATCATTAGAGAAATCAAACAGATCTTCAACAATGAAGTGTTCAGAACCAGCACCACCAGCGGCAGTGCTTACGTTGGTTGTTGTCAAATTATTGTCGGAAAAGCTGGTTTGGAAAAACTCTTGAGCTTCCATGAGTTACGAGGGAAATGTTGTTTGTGTTAATTGTGAGGTTAATTTAGAAGCTGAAAGCAGAAAATGAAGTGAGAAAGTATAGGAAGTTGGAGAAAGAAAGTGTGAAAAAATAAGTGGTTAAGAATTTGAGAGAGAAAAGCTATTTGCGTTTAAACGGGACTATCAGACACCTATGTATGAAGTTGTCTTGTTTTTTATTTCTATCGTTTTTGGGTAAGAATGTGAAAGAAAAAAGTCTTTCTTTTCCTAGTTATTCTTGCCACTAAAATAAAACTACTATAGTATAAAATATTAGTATGAAGCTTTAATTGAGTTTAAAGACATACAAAAAGTTTTTATTGGTTTAGGTTTTAGTTGGTGCCCTTTTTCTTTTCTCTTTTTGACAAAATACGTAAATTGTACTTGGTCAATATTTTTTATCTTTGCTTTCTAAATGTACGGAAACATTGAAGCTACCTTTTTAAACAACTTGAGTGGTAAGGAAAATATGGTTTGTTGTACATTTAATATAATATTTTTTTTTTTTATTGAAGCTAATATATATAAAAGAAAAGATAAATATGATGATATAAACTTACTTCTATAACAATACAAATTTTAATTTTTATGCACTCATATTTTTATTTTGATCAAGTCAATTCTTCTTATCTTTGCTTTCGTGGTAAGGATAATATGGTTCCTTGTACATCTAATATAATCTGTTTCTTTTATTAGAGCTAATATGAATTAAAGAAAAGATAAATATGATGATATAAACTTACTTCTATAACAATAAAAATTTTAATTTTTATGTACTCATATTATTATTTTGATCAAAAGTGTTAAAATAAGTGATGTTTGCAATGCTATTTGACATATTTTAAAGAGAGGCCAGCAACCGATTCTTTTTCAACATTTTCTCTAACACTCATTTTTTTATTGGATGAATCACATATGGATCCTTTTATAAATTTATGAATATTCATTCAATGGTCGTGTGTATTTTAAAATGATAAAAAAAAAAGTGGAATTGAGTAAATGCTAATAAATGCAAGAAGAATAGCCCCGCATATACATATTTACTCATATTCAAAGTCTTTATAAAGAGTTAAGAACATTAACTCAACAAAAGAGGATAAAGTTGCACATGAACAATTGCGGTGATTCCAAACATTATGCGACTTGTCTCCTCCATACACCCCTCACCGGCTTCGGGACAGGGTTTGAGGGCGTAGAGGCGGTTTTTAAGCGGCAACTAGGCACAATGCATCAGAGCAATCAAGCTACTCGACGTTATGGACGCTCCAACGGGAGGTGACCGACCTTCACATGGCCCATTATTGCTCTCGTTTTATCCTGTGTATTCATGTGTTCCAACCCTAAGACATATTTGAGAGTGCTTGAAATAGTTTTAAGGAAAGTGATTTTGTTCACGATTCAATCCTGGATCCATTCAATCTTAATAGTTTATCTAACGATCTTAAAATTGTTCTGATAATGGCTACCGAGGCTCCAGTTTTAAGCATCAAAGTCATGGATCAATACCTTGTCAAATTGGATCGCTTTGACATAACCAACTTCACCCGATGGCAAGATAAAATGACATTCCTACTGACTGCCTTGAAGGTTCACCATGTTCTGGATTCTGACTTAACACCAATTTATTTACCAACTGAGAATGAGCTTGAAGAACTCAAAAACGAACGTAAAAAACGTAAAGAGGGAGAATTTTTATACCATTGACTCATCTTGAATATGTTGTGTGAACATCTCTAAGATCTTTATATGGATACTCAGTTTGCAACAAAAATCTGGAAGGCTTTCAAGTTTAAATTCAAGGCCGAAGAGGAAGGTACGAAAAAATATTTAATTTCTAAATACTTTGATATTAAATTTATAGATTTCAATCTCATTCTTCCCCAAGTGCACGAGTTACAGATTCTCGTGAATAAAATAAGAATTTTGAAAATGGACATTCCTGAGACATTTCATGTTGTTGCAATCATTGAAAAGTTACCACCTTCGTGAAAAAGCTATAGAAAGAAATTGTTGCACAGTTCTGAGGACTTATCTCTAGAAAAAATTCAGAAAACCTTCTAATTGAGGAGGAATTGAAGGAAAGGCAGAAATCAGAATCTCATGGTCTTTCCAAAGCAAATGTTATGATTTCCAAAGGAAAAAAGAAACATGATGGCATGAAGAGTCATCATGGACCTAAAAGGGAACATAACAAGTTCAAATATTTGGCGGTCCGAAAGGTCTGAAAAGCAGCTATTTTGTATGTGCAAAAGCCAGAAACTATGCTCGAGATTGCAGGCACAACAAGTCAAAAAATAAGATCAATGTAGTTTATGAAAATGACGACATCATCACTATGATGAGAGAAACGACAATAAAAGGAAAAAATGCAAAGATGGTGGTATGACACATGTGCTACAGTGCATGTCTCTTATGACAAGGCTGCTTTTAAAACCTATTCTGAGGCAAATGATGAATAGGAAGTACAAATGGAAAATGAAGTACGATCTAAAGTTGTTAGAACCAGATCTGTCGAACTCATCTTCACTGCCGGAAAGAAAGTCACTCTTGTTAATGTGCTTCATGTCCCCGACATGAATAAGAATCTTGTTAATGGGGATTTGTTGGGTAAATCGGGAATTAAATATGTATATGAATCAGGAAAACTTATATTGACTTGTAATGATGTATTTATAGGAAAATGATATTTGGTTGAGGGAATGATCAAACACTATACTACTGATAATATTATTAATGAAATTTCTAGTTCTGCTTACATGCTTGAGTCTGCTTCTTTATGGCATAATACATTAGCAGTAGCACATATCGATATTAGTTCTATAAAGAGATTAATTAAATCTGGTTTGATCTTATGTAATATAAATGATTTCAAAAAATATGAATTATGTGTTAAATTAAGAAACTTTTCAAAAGTGTTGAAGGAAATACAAATCTTTTTGATCTTGTACATTCAAATTTGTGTGAATTTAATGGCATGTTAACCCGTGGGGGAAATAGATATTTCATTACATTCATCGATGATTCTTCTAGGTTCACATATGTATATCTTTTTAGGCATAAAGGTGATGTTTTTAATGCCTTTAAAATTTATAAAGCAGAAGTAGAAAATCAATTAAATAAAAGTATCAAAGTCCTTAGGAGTGGTAGGGGTGGTGAAAACGTTTTTACAAAATTTGATACGTTTTGTGAAGAACGTGTCATTATACATGAATGCTCCGCACCGTGCACACCAAAACAAAATGGTGTAGCTGAGAGAAAGAATATATCAAGAGATGATGAATGCCATGTTAATATATTCTAAATTTTCATTTAATTTATGGTGTGAGGCCTTACTAACTGATTACCACATAATTAACTAATTCATTTGAAGAAAACTGGTATTTCCCCATATGAGTTATGGAAAGATTGAGCATCAAATATCAGTTACTTTAGAGTGTGGGGGTGTGTAACCTACTATAAAAACATGGATCCTAAGAGAACTAAATTGGATCCCCGAGAGATAAAATGTGCCTTTATAGGATATACACCAAATAGTAAAGCATAGACTTTTAAACTTAGAGTCTAATGTAATTGTTGAATCCTGGGATGTATAATTCTTTGAAAACCTTATTACTAAGGATAAAGAATCTGAGTCTCTCGCAAAAAATAATCTCGTGAGGAAGATTTTTCTTGGAGTATCAAGATACAACTTGAAACTTCTTCTCGGATCATTGAAACACAACTAGAGCCTAGATTATGCCCCTTGTGAAGGTCTTTGTCATTCTCGGCCCCTTTTCTTATTGGATGGTAAGTCTCTTTCCGGTCTTTGTTCCCACAAATACCCGACATAATGTTAAAAGCTTATAAAAGAGGAGATGTTTCCCACCCTCGTAGGAGAAAGGAGTGACACCCATTATTTAAACCGACAATTTTAAACAAGTTTTCTAAAGAATTACAAATGGCAGAGACAATAGCTTGTCTTATTCAAAAATAATTAACTAGGATATAAATTGGTTTTTGTCACACCTCTTAGTCAACAATCCACACTTTCCACGTCAACTCGTTTTGATATTCATGACGTGGTTTGACATATATCGCCCATGTGTAGATGTGCTAATACTTTATACTTCTTGTATTCTTATAAATTAGATATCTTCAATTGTCTAAGGATTGTTTGTTGTTTCTTCTTGATATCAATTCTATCCAATGAAGAGATATTTTTAGAATAGTAAATAACAAAACCAATTGCAGATGTCGATATTGAACAATTAAAAGATTTTTCTATTGTTGAAAGATTAAACTTGATTTGGGCCTAAACATATTATTTGAATTTTTGGGCTTAGTTATTTTGGACTTAGGTAATTTTAATTAATGTTTCTAGAAAACTCTTGTAATGTTTGGAGTGTCTAGATATTTCTTAGGGTTGTAATATTTTCTAGAATGCTCTTGGAATTCCTAGAGTTGAGAATTCTCTAGAATTAGTGTGTCTAGAGTTTTCCTTAGAGTATTATAAATAGAGATGTAATTCTACACTTTTGTATCAAGCAAAATACAAAGTTCTCTCTTCCATAAATAATTTTTCTACCTATCAAGTTTCTCTTTAAGCCTATAATATTCTCACACACTTTTCCTAAACACAAAAGGTCTTATTTCCAATAAAGTGGCATCAGAGCTTGAAGGTCCTCAAAAGATGGCGATTGGAGGTTTCCCTTTTCAAATGTCGATTCTCACAAAGAACAACTATGACAATTGGAGTATCAAGATGAAGGCGCTACTAGGAGCTCAAGATGTGTGGGATATCATTGAGAAAGGCTTCAAGGAGCAAGATGAAGCCTCATTAAGCCAAGGTGTAAATGAGACATTAAAGGAGTCAAGAAAGAGAGACAAGAAAGCTCTCTTCCTCATTTATCGATCGGTGGATGAAGATACATTTAAGAATATCTCCAATGCAATGACGACCAAAGAAGCATGGGACAAGCTTCAAACTTGCAACAAAGGAGTGG